TCCCACCCGCTCCTTCACCTGGCCAAGTCCGGCGGCAGCGCTGTGCACTGTATCCCCCAGCCCAGCAGAGGGCAGTGCGCCGCGCGGCGGCTTCGCGGGCACCGCGCCGCTGGGCCTCGTCAGCTCCTGATTCGGAATTCCTGTGGAGAAACGCTCAAGTCCATTAGACAGTGACAAGCTAAGGTTTTCTCCCAGAGGACACTGAAAAAATAGTCCCTACGGCCAAAGACTGGGAGGCCACCCGGGAGCTGACATTCCCTTCCGCCCCCCCCCTTGCCCTTCTTCCGCTCCCACACGCCTACTTTCGCTCCCACACGACCCACTTCCGCCCTGCTGACCCCGCCCCCGCCGCCGCCACCCTACCTGCGGCCAGTCACGAGCGAGCCCGTGAGCGGGATCCTGCTGGACGTGTTTCTGTTTCCGGTCCTGCGCAAAGGGTTAGGGCTGGTGCAGGGGAGCTGCCAAATCCCGTTTACTTTCAGACTCCGAGGTTAACTTCGTAACTTGGAAATTATAAAGGAAGGGGCTAACTTAAGCCACAGAGAAGATCCACAGCATGTGATGGCAGTGAACTTGGGCAGATGATATCTTGAGCACCCAGAAAATTTGCCGGGAAATTCCTGTGCCCTGAGGGAGTGTGGCCGCAAAGCCGGATGCGGCCGGTGCACGGGGTCGCATCAGTGTCAGCAGTAACTATGGGTTTCTCTCTCAGGGACCAGATTGCCTGCCTTTGCACGATTATAGAAACCTCTCAGAATTTTGCCAGAGCATTAGGACAAGGAGCAACAACCCTTAAAATCTGGGAATAAAATTGCCCACCATCCATGCAGACTGAAGCACCAGAATAGACATGAAACTAAAAAGAAAATTAAATTTCTTGCATACCTGTGTTTATGTCTTGAAAATTATACCTGCTTTGTGTGGTTCCCTTTGTGAGCATGTGTGCCAAACTGTAGTTCGTAATATGGATCGTTTCGTATATTTTTATTTTTCTTCATGCTTTAGAAATTATTCGTTCTTATTTTAATTCTACTATGGTTACTTACCAAGAATCTCTATCAAAGTATAATTTGTTTCTACCAACACGAAGTCTAAAACTGTTAACTCGTTCCTTTGTAAAAGAATATATATATATTTTTCATCTTCCTTTCTCTTTTAATTGTACACTCTGGTATTTGAGACCAACTTTACATTACAAAAATTTTACTTTGTATTTGATGTATCATTTATTTCAGTAATTTCCCAAAGTTGCATTTTGTTTTTTAGACCATATTTAAATGACTTTAGACTTAATCCTGTGTTTAAAACCATCTTTTGTTTTATAGACCTACTTCAACCTTTCATTTTAATTCACCTTTTACTTGGTCAAAAAGGGGTTTAAAATTGTGTTTTGTTTTGTTTTATCCTCACCCAAGAACATTTTTGCATTTATCTTCAGATTGAGAGGGAGGAAGAGAGAGAGAGAGAGAAACATCAATGTGAGAGAGACACATTGAGTGGTTGCCACCCACACGACCTCAACCAGGGTGGGGGACAAACTGCAGAAAGAGGAGGAAAAAGGGCACCGTTGAGAGCTGGACAGATACTAGGCAAAGGGTCATGATTTCTAGTAGGCTAAATATGGACCTTACAAGAGGAGTCCAACATGGGCAGGGGAGATGTAATGATCACAAATGTGTTTTTTCCAGGGTGAGGCACACTCTAGGTGTGCTGACCCCTACGGTTTCCCCAAATGTGGGAAACTCGAGAGCATAATTTATGATATTGGAGGACGGTTTGCACTCACCCCTGGGGGGGAAAATAAGAGAGAGAAAGAGAGCGACTCTGCCTAAGAAGAACCCTTGAAGGAGTAAAGTGACCCAGTAGAGAAGTGGATACTAAAATTCCAGGCCTAAGGAGGGAGGCAAGACATCTAGATGAAATACAATATTTCTCCCTAAAATTGCCCTTGTTTTCAAAAAGACTGCATTAAGGCCATTTTTAATTTGGCCTGGTTATTTGCATAAACACAACAAGAATAGTAACTGATCAAATACATCACACAGGCTTTTTCAAATTTGCTTTGCTGGAATCTTTCACAAGGCATCTTTAGATTGAGTTTTTAGTCAGCTGCTCAGAGCAACGAAACCAAGACACAATTGCCATTAGGGTTTTCCTGCAATACCTGTAGGTTTGAATAAATTTCTCAAGTCCTTGAGGTTTCTTTCCTTGTCATCTTTCAGGAAAGCAAACTTTATTCCTTACCTGGAAAGATTGCCATGAACCACATGACCAAGCAAGGTACTAGGCCATTTCTGCCATGTGCTTTTATTAGCTTTGTCAGTCTTAATTCCTTAAGGCTTACTAGTGACATCCAGTCCAGGCATGTCTCTCTTAAACATGCCATTCCAGTCAAAGTCTTGGTTAATAAGACCACAAGTGAAGACTGGTCTTACTGAATTTATGCAAAGAAACATATTGCCATGACTTATTATGTATTGCTAAATTCTGGAGTGATCAGGTAGGAAGAAAAAGCTAATGTAAGTAATTAGCACTTCATTAGATTTGCAAACATTCCATAACATCTAGAAACAGGTTCTTTAATGGCAAGCACACTTACACTTTAAGAGGCATACTTCCATGAAACAGGCATCATACACCTTAGAAGTAGTTTCTGAAGCCAGTGTATAAGGATTGCTCTGACCTGAGGAATGATTTTCCTAGGTATCTCTTCTATTTCCCTCTCACAAACTTGCTGGCTAAACTTTTTTGCTTATTACTCTCACCTTTACTGATATGTCCATTGTTTTTAAAAGAAACCTTGCATGCTATCTTTCCCACACTCTGTTTCAAATAAAGTTAGGGTTCATTTTGGAAAACTTCACAACTCTCTGTTATAAAGGCCTACCTCTCCCCCTGAGGAAAAAAATCTCTGTGCCATGGAACTTGAAGTGGAGACTCACCTATTATGGTACACTTATTTTAGGAGGGAGGTGCTGGGCATAGGTAGTAGCCTGTGGTTCTTTTGTCTCGCCTCTTCTATAGTGGAAGCTCCACCCTGCAAATAAACTGAGGTGAAAGAGATCAAGGCCCCAGTCTTCCAGCTGACAATATTTGTGGTAGAGCCTCTGGCCTAGAAATAGAGAGGAGATGCAAGAAGGGAGTCTCTGACCTCTCATGCAGTCATGTGGAATTTAGCTTCTGCAAAATATAGCTGGAATATTTGAGAAATGCTTGCAGCCTTCCCCTTGTATAACAGTTAATTGAAGAGGGAGCCTTATGTTCTTGGCTGCACCTGTCAGGACTGAAGTTTCTTTCATGATGAGCTGGAACAAGGTGTAAAGGAAACAGGTTGTAATTCACATGCCCCAGATTCTCACTGTTTTTTAATATACAGATGGCCAGGGCTGCATATTTTTTGATGAAGGGGAAGTGTGGCAATGTGTGTTGAGATGAAAAACAGAAAAGCTGAAATAAATTAGGAGAGCTGGCTTTGATCATGGTGAAGCATTGACTCCCAATAGTGTGTATGAGTGAATTGCATTCGAATATCCCAGTGTCTTTTTCTGTTGTTGTTTGCCTCCCCCAGAAGTGGCCTGAACCTAAGGGTTCATATACAAGCGCTTGATTGAAAGTGCTAGGAATACAGGTGAAATGATACAGAAAAGTGAAGGAAGTGTCATTGAGCATGCTACCACAGTGGAAAAATAGACCCTAATCCTTGGGGAAGCTCAGGGAAAAAGTGCAAATTACCCATACAAGAATTCTCCCAGCCAGGGAATGATGAGAACTAGAGCACCAGTGAGGATAAGTGTCTATGGGGATGTCAATTACTTGCACTTCAGTTCTGCTCTGATCTCTAGCAAAATGAGTTCTGGCAGCCCGGGGAAGCTCTCTGACAAAGGTGCAATAACTAGTTGGTAGAAACCATGCTGGTTTACATAGAAATTATGGTTGGGGGCAGGGTGTCAACAGTGCCTGCTACAGTAGGAGTCTTTCAAACAAACCAGTCTGTGCCCTTCTCTTTCCTTCACCCACTACCCCAAATTCTGATTAGCCTTGTATATGGCAGTATTGAGAAGAGGTGCATGTAGAAATATCTCCTTCATAAAGATGCCCCCATGTTTAACAGCCTCAGCTTCTTGGTTATAGACCATAGAAGTTAAATTAAAAAAAAAAAAAATTCCACAGGGCTGAACCAGTCTGTGGTAGGCTGGGAGACTAGGAAGGAGAGAATCCTTTGGGGGAACACAATTTTGAGTCGACAAGAAATAAATTAAAAGATTCCTGGTGTTGAGGTGAAAATTGCACGAACTCTTATCTAGTCAGCATCACCTTTGACGTAGAATGGTCTCAAGCGTTCTGATGGAAAGAAGTGAAGACTCTGAGTGTGGGAGTTATCATGGTTTGTGAACTAATTCTGTAAGTAGATGAAATATTAAAGAGTCTAGGGACTCAAAGGTACTAGATAAAATGGCAGAGCTGACATGTATGAGCACAAAATTAGGCTAGAAATGTAAGAGAAGTCACAAGGGACCCTAATGTACTGAAAGACTACAGAAGGGGCAAGGAAACCAGAGGTCCTATGATGACAAAGAGTAAGAGCGACAAATGTAGAGGAAGCAGAGCAGGAGGAAAGCATTAGATAGAAGTGGAGCCTTGTGATTTAATTTTCAAAGTGGAGCAATTCAGTGTCAGATTGTGACTGGAATGAAGTGAAGATGAAAGGAAAGCTTGGAAAATCTGGAACTTGAGAAATTATGAGGCCAGGCTTTCTGATGAATCATATATATATATATATATATATATATATATATATATATATATATATGGGGGTAAAAGGAAAAACATAATTATCAGCCTCTTAGGAAAGAAGGTGATGTGGGAGGGATGTTTTGTAACAACTGGGAGATGCTGCCATAGAGATTTGGAAAGAATAAGATAATTTTCAAAATTATGTATTGTGTTCAAAATTCTTTTGACATTTGACACAGAGCTGTAATTTATCTTTCTGATTCTCACAGGAGGAACTCACCCAAGAATAACATCTTCTTCAGAGTTAACCATTATTTTAAGATTTGCTTATCTGAGTGATACATTTTTGAATTGTATGGTAAGCTCCCATTCAATAGAATTAGACCTTCACCTAGGGAATTCAGTTGAGAGCTGACTACTCATCCAGTGAACATTGTTTCCATAAAGCATTTGCTCCAGTATAAAAACAGTAGGTTCAACCGTTAATCTATAACGACATGTTGGGAAGCAATCTTTAAATTTTGAACTGTACCTACCAACAACCTAATTATTTCAGAACTACCAGTTAAGCAATTAATTGCTAAACTGAAGCCTGCATTTCTATATGACTTCAGGACATTTCATATCCTAAGACACCCTGTCCTAGGACACTGATGATCGAGCAGGGAACAAGATAGACATGACTGCAGGTTTGACGGAAAAGGGGGAAGTGACAGACATTGAACAAATAATCACAAATGTGATTACCATTGAGAAAGAAGAAATAGAAATTTTTTTCTGCATAACCTTTTTATTTATCCTAATTGGTAACAAATAGACAAATACAAAGATTGGGATGACAAAATACATTATTTTCCTGTCAACATCTACCTGAATTCCAAATGAATAAACATCACATGGTTTTACTTAATGATTTAATAATATAATAAAAATGTTTATTGAGCACCTACTATTTACCAAGGGTTAACATACATGAACTCTAACTGGTGGCAGTACCAAAGTGGGCATTGTTGTTTTCTGTGCAAACATGAGTGTGAGGTCTCACTCCCCTCGCCCCAGCCACTTTTCCACCCCAAGTTTCCACTCTATAGAAATCCTGTGGCACAACTCAAGGTAGGTATTAACTTCATTTCATAGATGAGGAAAAAGGTTGATTAAATAAATTGTCAAAGGCCTCATAGCTTATAAATGCAAAATATATCATTTGAACTCAAATCTTGTAGGGATTTTTTTTTCTTTACAGTGCTTCAATAATGGTTATTTTTCTTATTTGTATCTATACTGATCATTTGGCTATATTTTTTAAAATCCCCTCTCCATTTGGTTTCTTATATTATTTTTAGAGCTTCCTCCACTTCCTTTTTTTTTTCTTTACTCAGATTTACCTCTGAGTGTTTTAAGACTACCAGCAAACATTTTTGACTGTGACTGCGTAGCCTAGCTGATGCAGAGAAGGGAGTAGAGGGTTCAAAGCTGACATTCCCAGTATTAGGTTTGATATTTCTAATTCCTGTTTTCTATTTCCACTGCAGATCCCGAGTCAATTTGTCATCAAACACTGTCATGGTCAACTCTGTTTTGCACAAGGATGAACCCCCATGCCAGCTGGCGTATTGCCCATGATGATGACTGGAGAGAAACTGAAGGAAGGAGAAAATGTGGTGTCATAATTGGCAGCAATGTTCTAACGTGGCTTCAGCTTCTGCCAGATGACCCCGATCCTTTTTGCTGTGATAATGCTCCTTCTGCTTTATGTCTCTTCAGACTAAGATGGGGAAGGTAATAGTTTCCTACTGTTGCTAATCTCTGGATCATCTCAACTGTCCTCTCTCTACTGGGCTTGTCAGTTTTTCATTGTTACCATTCCTCTGCAGAAGGTCCTGCTGTTTTAAATACTCAGATGTTTCTCTTTTTTCTGATCAGATCTTTACATACACCCCAAATACTTTATATTTCATTATAAAGATCAGTGCACTTGTGCATATGTATTTAATAAATGTCTTCTTAGCCAAGTTTCTAGTTTCATAAGGGCAGAGATTAGGCCTATCTTTCCCACCTTGATATTGTGTAGCAATTACCAGGTGAGAGGTGCTTGAAAGAATGAATGGATGAATAAGAAGAGCAAAAGCATTTTTCTCTCCCCAAACCATCTGTCTCCTCCTCACTTATTGTCTTGGAATAACGAGGTAAATAACAACAGAAAAAGCAAAGTTGTTCTTTATCCATTAATCCTCAGGTGGTTCAAGCACCAAGAAAAGTCAACTCACACACATACAAAATCAAGTAACATCTGTTCAAATAATTAAAATAAAAGCAGAATATTTGAATGCATCAAAGGAAACAACACTTCATGCAATGCATATGAGAAGCTGACATTGGGGACACTAGACCTGGTGTGGCATTTCAGAATCAGAGGGGAACCAGGTGAGCACTGACCAAATTTTATTTTAACTGGAAAAGTATTCTTTCCTGTCTTTTTTTTTTTTTTTTTCTTGTCAAATGATTTAAATTAGAATAAATTATATTAGTGACTCAGCATTTTGAAAAGCATTACTGTTTACTTGATTCAGTGGAAAAGAGGGAGGAATTAATTGTGAAGTTTCAGAAATCCTAAAAGAGATATTAATTTTTAAGAGTGTTCGCTCCAGAAGTCACAAGTTGGGCAGCCCCTGCAGATCTTTTAGATCTGTTTTCATCACAAAAGAGCTCACTGTGTATCTTCCTGGCATTTTTGGAGGATCTTCTGTTCTTTTTCTTCCTTCTTTATGAGGACAGCAGGAGACACCATGGTTGGGGAAAGCAGGGAGTTGTCAGTTCAGTCTTTTTGTTGCCTTGACTGAGAAAGTAACAGTTCCTGCAAAACGGAAGTGGAAGAAAGTGAAGAAGTATTCAAAATAGGCAAAAGTCACAGAGTCAGCATCAAAAAGCAATGAGCTGAAAATAATCTCTTTGTATAAAGAAATTGCACAACACTAAATATTCCTCTGTAATCTAAATTCTCTTATGTCAGTAACATATCTGAAATGCTACTCTGGAGTGTTTTTGTGATCAACTTAGGACAAGGAACAGAGAAATTCCAGCTGTTGTTTTAATTTAAAATATCCACACAAAATTTTAAAAGGTGAGCAGCATACAGCCCAGAGGAGCATATCTCTAGTGTGTAGCTACTGTGGTCCCATTTAGAACAGGAGAAATTAAGCGATTGATGGGCCGTAAAAGTAATTTTTTTCATGCCATATTTTATGGTATAGAGCAGTATGGTTCATGCAGAGAACTGGAAATATAGCTCTGTAGCTGAAGTGGGGAGAAAAAAGACACCCCAATGCCTACTAAGCTACATGCATTTCTCTATTTTTCTTGATTACAATGGTTGAGAATTTTAGAGTTGGATAGATTGAATTATTAACTCTTCTTTATCGCTTCCTGCACCCAAAGGGGTGGCCCTTTGCCATGTACGTGGACATTTTCTTTCTCTCAGGCAGAGTATCTTCCCTAGCTTTACTTTGGTCTGTAGGATGTGAATAGATGTAGGGCAGGCGGGAAGTTGAAATGCACTTGAGATATGGGTTTGTTCTCTTCCCTCTCTTTATTTCTGCTTTCATTATGGAGAGAATTTCTTTTGAGTAGCTGCTGCCTCTTTTGCCTGGGCACCAGGGAGCAGAGCCACACCATCTGACCAATGGATCCAGGAGTGAAATAAATGCTCATTGCTTTTATGTCACTGAGATTTTGTGGTTCTTTTTTGGGGCAGTGTTGTTGCAATGGTTAGCTGACACGTAGGGGATAAACACATAGCGTCTCTTTTTGCTGCCTAATTGCAGAATGAATAGAAAGAGAGAGAGGGAGAGGAAAGAGGAATTGGGCAAATAGAGAGCAAATGCTATCTTTGTTATAAAAATTCTTCTTTGTGGGATTAGGCTTAGGTGTATTTGAACACTGGCTTTATGATACCACTCCTGGATCACATAGTCCTCCTGAGCCAGCTGTAATGGAATTGACATGCAGAGGTGGGATCTTTCCCCTTGATGCTCTGCCAGGAGGAGGCCAGGAGAATGGCTGTATTTGGCAGGCAGATCCCAAATGCAGGGGTTGAGAAGAGGTGAGATATGCACATCGAGTTCCCACTCTCAGGTTTACCTATAAGATCATTTCCATCTCCAAAATTGACTAACTGATGCCTACTTTTCAGGGTTCTGTGATGGTTAAATTAAAATATAAGCAAGGCATCAATATAATACCTAATATAGACTTTACTCAACATTCGTGCCCTTATTCCTTTTTCACCCTAACCTTCCTCCGTTTTATGTCTTTGTTGATCCATTATTTTTGTTTCTCCATTATTCTTTGTTTCTCCTCTTTCTTTTAATTTTTTTCCTGTCCCTCCATCTTTCTAATTCAACTCTAAATTAATGATCATATATTCTACGTTGTATTTTACCAATTTTGTGCCCCTTTCTTAATTTACAAATCTAATGCATTAAATATTTATATCCTTCTATAAACATCGATCAAATTAAATTAAATTCCTTTAAAATCTGTTATGGTATTTACTTGATGTTCAGTTTTTTAAGTCATTGACAATGTAACCTTCCATCTCCTCATATGTTTCTGTCAATTTTTTTATTGGTTTTTTATATGCACTTGTGATTTTCTATATAGAATTTACTCATTCTAATGTAATGTTTTTGAGCTGATTATACTTTTGATTTCAAATATTTTTGAATAGTTTTAAATCAAAGTAATATGCAGGTCATTAAACAACACTGTTGTATTTCAATTTTCATTGCTTCTTCCCTTTTTTGGTCGATTTTAAAAATCAATGTTGAAGAAATTGACATAAGAGAAAGTACACAAAAGCTGAGAACTTGGCCTAGGTGAGATAGTTACTCAATGGCTGGATGAAAGGAAGAAAGGAAGGAAGGAGGGAAGGAGGGAGGACTAGAGGAAGAACAAAAAGAATAGATTCAGGAGCTGCTACTTGGCGAGTTGGTATCAACATGAAGGGGTGAATAAAGACTACCTTTTCTAAGAAAACAAAGGGACAACCAGTCCCACTTAGAGCCTGGAAACATGAGCAAAGGCAAAGGGCATCACCTGCAACATGATGGGGGTGTGGACACAAACAGCCCTGGCCCACCTACAAGACCTCCTGCATGTATGTGTAAATAAGCATAGTCACAGTCCATTCCAATGATTGTCTTGATGCTGGTCACAAGGCTGACCGGTTTTTATGGTTGAGAGTCAGCAAGTCTCCAGGAGACAGAACGTCTGTCTGATCCTAGAGTCAGTAAAGCTAGTTCCTAGAACTCTTACACAAATATGTCACTTTTCCATGGGTTACATATCAGTTAACGCTTCGTCTTTAACAAAAAACACTTTTAACAGAAACAATATTAAAAGAATAGAGGGATGGGTTACAGAAGTAGTGAGATTTCCTGGCAGCACTAGCCTTTCATTTATATTTCCTTTTGGTGAATTATGAATGTCCTTTTGGTTAATTATGAATGATTCTTTCCAATTGCTGCTTAATGGAGAGTGTGCTGTTTGTAAGATCCATGATGTTGGTTGATGCTTGTGTTGCACCTTGTACCACTTAAGATTCTTGTTCTCCAAAGTCATAGCATGTATTGCCCTTCTTGTACCACCACATCCTTTTCAACACTTTATACGATCAAATTCTAACTTTTGTTTATCCCACAGATGTAAAAATTTAAGCATCCTTGGTATGTTTATAGCCCATTCTTCACTTCTCTGTGAACTATCTATTTGTTCATGTTCTTTTCTCATTTCCTAATGTTTTCTCTTACTGATTTGTAGGCAAACATTTTATATTCTGGGCATTAACCATTTATGAATTATGTATTGTCTGGAACTTAGCTGATCTGGGAGAGTGAGCTGAGCAGTCAGTGCCAAAGTAATTGATTATAACAAGCCAAAAATGAAAGAGCCTGGCCTTTCATGGCTTACTGCCATGGTATAAGCAAGAGACTAAAACCTGAGAAAGTGCTGGCTCCTTGCTTCCCTTCCATTTCTCCTCAGTGAAAAGGTGCACTGATTATTGGTCAGGTAGATCAATCTAGACATAAGGAGTTACTGGGGGGTAAGGGAGTGGACTATATTTTACTGTGGAAGGAGCCCTAAAAAAAGGCTCCATCGGTTCTATGAACCTTGGGATGGGAAAAGGGTGAGGGGGAAGGGCTAGGAATGAAAAAATATTGAGTCAGAGTGAGGAAATGGATCTTTAAGGTTTCTTCCTCCTCTACCAGATAAGACCTCAGCAGATAAAGAGATCTAGGAATGAAGGGAAATATGCATAGAACACTACCTGCCAGGAGGGCCTGAGTCCTTGACTTCATCTCCTTCTAGAGGCTGTCATGCTACAAATCTGGTGAGGGGAGGGGGTTTTCTCCAGGTGGCCTGTCAGGTAAAGCCTTTGTAATTAATTGCCTATGGTCAGGCCTGAACAATTCCACATAGGGTTTTGTGTGTGTGTGTGTGTGTTTTAATGTTTATTAATTTAGTTTTGTTACAGATGTTTCTCCTTTTTCCCCCTCTAGACACCCTGTTCCTCATCCTGCCCAGCCCCCTCCCCCCAGCATTGTTGTCTATGTCCATTGGTTATGCATATATGCATATAAGTTCTTTGGTTTATCTCATCCATCCCCCCTACCCCCCTCCTCTGAGGTCTGTCAGTCTAAACCATACTCCTTTCTATGTCTCTGGGTCTATTTTGTTCATTGGCTTATTCATTATATTCCAAAAATAAGTGAGATCATGTGGTATTTGTCTTTCTCTGATCGGCTTATTTTGCTTAGCATAATGCTCTCCAGGTCCCCCCATGTCATCTCAAAAGATAAGAGATCTGTCTTTCTTACAGCTGCATAGTACTCCATTGTGTACATGTACCATGGCTTTTTAATCCACTTATCTACTAATGGACACTTGGGTTGTTTCCAGATCTTAACAATTCTAAATAGTGCTGCTATGAACATAGGTGTACATATATTCTTTCTGACTGGTGTTTCGGGTTTCTTAGAAGATATTCCTAGAACTGGGATCACTGGGTCAAATGGCAATTCAATTTTTAATTTTTTGAGGAAATACAATATTGTTTTCCATAGTGGTTACACCAGTCTGCATTCCCTCCAGCAGTATACTAGAGTCCCCTTTTCTCCACATCTTCACTAGCACTTGTTGTTTGATGATTTGTTGATGGCAGCCATTCTAGCAGGTGTGAGGTGATACCTCATTGTTGTTTTAATTTGCATCTCTCTGATGATTAGTGACATTGAGCATTTTTCATATGTCTCTTGGCCATTTTGGAGGGGTGTCTATTTAGCTCCTCTACCCATTTTTTAATTGGGTTCTTTGTCTTCCTTTTGTTGAGTTGTATGAGCATTCTATATATATTGGAAATT